GAAGAAAGAAAATGTGGATATTGTCTTCCGCATTGAATTACTTAGCCCATCACCATAGATCAATACCAGAAATAAATGTTCATATAATCAAACAAAATCACGAAAGCAACTATTAATTTATCATAATTCAGACCATTTAGAATTTCTTCGGTTATAACCTTGCCAATCACTTTTGGGTTACTCTTAGATTTTGGGATCTTAGATTCCTTAGATTCCTTAATCATTCCTTACATAGATCAGGACTTTCTCCTATCTGTATTTCCAGAAAGGCTGGTGATGAGTATTAAACAACATGTCAAAAGAGGTGAGGAACTCTTAGTTAGAATCAACTCAGTTTTACCAGAATGGGAAGAAAGAGATTCAAGTCTTTAAACAAGACAAAACAGATCCTTCCAAAGTCACAGAAAGAAGAACTCGAACTGGTTATATTACAACCTTCCAAATTATCAGCATTGAAGGATGTAATAACGTTGGAGATCAAGGCGCCCTCAGAAGAATTACTAGACTCCTTTCAGCATGTTCGGGGTAATCAGCCATTTAAGATACGGTATTCTGATTTGAGGTTCTACAAAGCCTTCACATATGAAGCAACAACTTCCAGGTGTCAAGCAGATTACTACAGACTTTCCACAGAGACTCCGTACTACCAGTTTATCAACACGATGACCATTCAGAATATCTACACATGGCTTCCACCACTAAAAGCTAGTACAGATGTTTCAGAGATAATTGAGACCAAATGTTGACTATACAAATGAAAAAGTTAAAAATGTGAGTCTTCGTGGCATATTTTTGTTCTTTCCTTTTGCTTTGCCAGGCTGTGGCATCTCATCATTTTCTTTGTTGATAAAATTTTATTTTCTGATTCCCACCTTGCGTGAAAATTACTTTGGTCTGTGTGGTCGGTGAACTCCTCAACGCTATAAATAAAGGATGATTTTGCATTAGCAGATAATTAGAATTCATAGCAGGTAACTTCATATATGAAAGTTGAAACCTTCTGAATTCCACCCAAAACGTGTGCCTTTCAGGAGTGTTTTTAACGTAAGTTTGTAAAATCTTAGCTTTTCAAGGGACTTCCCGAAAGAGAAAATCCTTATATAGTAAACTCCGCATATAGTTTTCTTGTTTTAACCAAGTACTTTTACTTGAGAGCTATGAATGCTTAATTAATCTTTATGAATCTTGACCTTGTATTACTCTTTTGTTCTTACCAAAATCAATCGGTTATCTCCGAGTCTTTTGCCTTAAAATGCCCATTGTTGCTAATAAGCTTTGTCTAGGTCTATTTAGGCGCTAATAGAACATGTATGAAAGGTGCCGGAATTTTCATGAAATGTGGTTATATTAGTAATAGGAACACTTAAAGAATAATTATAGATAAATTTTCATTAAAACTCAAGTAAGATATTTTCTTATTACTAAGATATTACTTATTTGAGAAAAAAAAAATGAGAAGCATCGAGTCGGACTTACAACTAAACGACTCAAGCATTTACTTCAAATTTATGAGTGCAGAACCAAAATATAATACTCATTGCACCTACTGATGATAATCAGAGCAGTAGACAAAAAGGATGTAAGTAGAATTAATTTAATAACTAGAGAATTTTACGACGAAATAGATAGAAAATATATATAATTTAATACATCTTGGAACGATAGTAGTAGGAGTCAAAAGTTCAACCAGACCACGATTAGGAGTGAAGGTTATCGACAACTCGATGCAGTTACAATCGGAATGATGGAAATTGATATGTCAGAAAATGCTAAAGGAGTCTATTGTCAACTGCCATTTATGCTCCCATGTAAAGGCTTTTACAAAGATCTTCATATTTCTGTAAAATCGATAAGATACGATATGATAGACAATAAAGATAATTTACAATTATGCGTAGGCTTTGTATGAAAATTACAAGTTAATAGCAATAGTAAAACAATACTAGATTTAATAAGAATCTAGATATATTTGAAAGTAAGGGTATTTCAGCAGATATGTTAAAATTAGAAGAACTAGAATGAGGTGTATCAAATATTTTAGGAGATACTAATATAAGAGACCCTACAAAATTTCATTTTTATACGTTATATGATGGTAATCAATTGGTAAAATTCAGCACGTATAGGCCAAGCAGACAAATTAATAATGAAGAAGAATCTTATCAAGAAGAGAAGTATGAGTTCTATAACTATTATCCACAGAATTTATTTCGTAGTTATAGAATAGATACATGTAGGTAACCATCAAATAAAAAAGCTAGATAGATAAATAATAATAATAATAATAATAATAATAATAATAATAATAATAATAAATAAATAAATAAATAAAAAAGGATTTCACGGGAAGAAAGAAAAACTTGAAATCATACCTATTAATACTCAACAAAATTCATCATTATTGTAGATAATAAAAGATTCATTAACATAATCAACGTATGGTGGCATAAGTTGTAAATAATTATAATAATGGATTACTTATTTTCCCACATGTCAACAAGCTTGAATCATGGGTTTTATTTAGATGTTTATGTTTAAGAAGCAATAGTTACAAGGGTCTAACTCTAAAAAACCCAATTTTATAAATAATTGAAAGAAAAATCTAGGTTTGTTATATTAAAACCCACATATTATTCAATACACCCGACATACATAGACCCCATATTTGCTTTTTTAATTAATGTTTATCTTAATACACACCAAATACTTTCTCATAATGCTCTCATACCCCACACTCACACCATACACCTTACATTTTCTACATAACCCCATGCTCTTCAAATCTGAGGTGCAAATAAATAAGGTCATCCTAGACACCTTCGGTGTGATGCTGAAGCTGGTGTGATTTTGAAATTTTCCAATTTCTCTATTAAAGTGATTCGAATACACTTTTAGTCTGATAGTTTCCAAAGGCAGTGAATCCGGATCTCTTCTATTCTCTATGCCTTCATATGATTCTAAATACTATCATCCTACATCCATCGATATTTGAACGATGTGTTGAGAACAATTATTTGATTCTATTTGCATGTGTTTATCCCTTCATATTTCTCTATCCTTTCAATTTTGTGATCCTATTTGTTCCATGGAAATAGGTGGAAGGTTGTGGGTATTCAACGTCAGTAGATGAGAAAGATGATTTTCGCAGCAGTGGATGAGGAAGATGAGGAAGCTAAAAAAACAAAAAAATGGAAACAAATATGGCAGCCATAGGAATGTAGAGCTTGATATATAGTAGCAGCAGTGACATTGGATGATGATGAATCCTCTTGTTTTCATATGGTCGAATCAAGGGAATGTATTGAGTTGTTAAATCATTGAATTAGAGGAAGAGATTAGGCAATTACGCGGCTTCTAAAATTAAATAAATTATAATGCAGAAAAAATATAGCAGTCATGATATCTGATCTAGGGATCCTTTGATCAGATATGACTAAGGTTTATTACGTGTGTGATTTTCATCATTAGTCATACTTTTTTAATGGATATCATTCATATTGTAGCTATAGGCATGTTGGTGTCATTGAAATCACTAAAACAATAAAATAAAATAAAAACATGTTCCATTTGTAAGAATAATATTTTTTTCAATTAACGTGTTTGTAGTTTCATTAGTTAGAGTTTTGTTCTAGAAGGGTGAGTATGGTTTTAAGACGTGAAGAAGAAAGATAGAACTTGGGTTATACACGTTAAAAGTAATTTGGGGCGTATTTAAATTATTTTATTTTTTTTAGTAAACTGTTGATTTATCCCTTAAGTCTATATACTTTACTACATTTTTTCTCTGATGACGTTGGGGACATGATCGAATTTTTCATAGTTGACGACGGAGGAGGAGCACTTTACTTAAAGGCGTGCCCGGCATTACCAGCATCTAGTCTTTAGACAAGCTATTATTGGAGCCGGGGTATGAGGCGCAAAAGGACAGATGGCATTACCAATAACCGGAGATGGTGCGACTGAACCTTGGCACGGAGGAGGCGTCGACGGCAATCACCATCGAATACACTCCTAGGAGTCTGAACCAAGAAGCCAACGAGATGGCTCAAGTTGCCTCGGTAGTTAAGCTTCTAGATGACATATTTCAGAAAGTTATCACGGTTCAGAAACGCTCATTGGCTTCGATCTTTGATAGGGAAACTACATTAAAAGGAGAAGAGGTGGATTTAGCCACAATGAACTAGCAATAATGTGATTCAAATTCGTCTTTGACGGGAATCGAATTTAAGACCTCTCATTTACAAGTGAAAAGAAATATCATTAGACTGTAATACTAAGTGGTTGCACTCTTAGGTTTTGAAATTATATCAATTTATATATTTTCCTTCTTTGAACGTCTACTCCCCATTGAATTGATGAGATTTTTATGTCAAAATGACCCAATTAATATGACTCGCTGATCTATACAGGATCTCACGTTCAACATATCAAATCAATAAAATGATCAAACCGGCAATCAGACTTCAATGGATATGATTGCAATACTTCGTGATAAGCTACAACTTTAGTCCATTTCAAAAATCACTCCAAACTTACTGGTGACAACTTAAACTTATTCAAGGATCCTCATGAACTACTTGAACGGAGTTGGACCCATTTTATTGCGATGAATGACCAAACAATACAGCCTTCAAGTTCGGCATTTGTTGGGAGATAAATAACCAAAATCCAACCTTCTTGTCAACACCTCTATGTCAAATGGGAAATTCCACCAATCATTTGCACAATCCCAATAAAAAACTCAAATTCCACAAATCTAGTCGACCTCCTCGTTGGTTATGAATCTACGATGGTTAAATCGTAGCTTTAATTGATCAGGTCGTAAGACTGCTATGAATGAGACAATTTTCTCAGTGAAATATGTATGGCGTCTTTACTTCAACGCATTACAACTGCGTAAACTGTACTGTTTTCTCATTTTGGAAGGATTAATAAAACAGTCGTACGAATAAACACAATCCTAAACCAGACATAATCTCTACAGAACAAGTAACGAGCCATGGAGACGGAGACATTTTCAATATTCATTACATAGTATCGAATGTACAAATATTGAAGATCAGACAAACCTCAACGACCATTGCACATTGAACACCTTACATAGCCAAAGCAATCCCCACCACGGTTGCGAAAAGAACACACTGCGAACTTTTTTTCCTTTTTCAATTTTTTTGGTTTTTTTTTTCCTAGATCCAGAGTACCTACGAAGTGTAAAAACCCTTGGCCACACCCGCCCAGACGACTAAAAGTTAAAAACTAATGCCTATCTGCATAAGTTCAGCGAGCACCTGAATAAATTCTCTTAAGACTCTTCCAAAGCTCAAAAGTTGAGCAGATAAGCATAATTCACAAATGCTAAAGAAGTAAATTGTACAAAAAGACAAACTTCCCGTTCGAATCTCTTGGCTTTGTCCGCAAGGTTGTATAGACGAGCAGGCCTGGAAAAGAACGAAATGAAAGCCAGCAATAAAAAGAACACTTACCCGAGCTGCTGGCTTCCGTCCTCTCTCATTAATTGAAGCCCCTTAATTTCAGAAAAATCCACAAAGATCCAACATGCTCAGGCCATCGATGTTAGGCTCAACCTGTTATCACCACAGCAAAAGGCAAAGCATAAAGATAAACAATACTTCAAAATAATCAAGAAAATTATATGTAGAAGTTCAATACACATGCCCCAACCCTGTTATTTGTTCTGAGTTATCCCTCGTTGGAATTGACTACCAACCATCCCAAATGCAGCATTCACCTTTTTACTAAACGCAAAACAAAATAAACAAAATAAAAAAAGATGAAAAGAAATTAGATAGATTGGTCAGCGCAAACTAAAGCTCCAAGATAAGAGGCTCTTAAGCAAAATGAAAACAAGCTAGTTATGGTGCAGGGTATTCCCAAATGTCCAATGTTTAAACATGCACAACATAAATGAGGACCAACGCAGATCCTGGCAGGACTTGCACTAGTGTTTGAAGATACCTCAGATGTTGCTACTTTTATGCCATTGGTGCATTTGGTCATAGAATCTCTGAGTTAGACTGAACAAAATTAAGACGACATCCAACTAGCATAATAATATGTTGTAGAAGAAAGCAACCAGATAATGAAAATGATTCACCAGAAAACTTAGTCAAAGTAAAGGAACTTATATCCAAAACCTCTAATGCTTCATGGGATTCATTTTACCGTAGGTTTCCATTTACGCATCCACTATCTGAAAGAGCTTCGGAGTCTGCCTCACACACATCACCCAGCAAATATCCTGGGTTGTTACTCCCAACACTGCTTCCCTCAACGCTCCTAGTGTTCCCCTCACAGCTACCAGCCACCTGATCCAAATCCAGCATCATCACAACTGCCCTTGCTTGAAACATTTGTAATAGTACTGGAATTGGAGGCATATCCAGGCTCCATTTCACCAGACAGTGTTCTTTTATTTGACTCTACTACTTCCATGCTAAAACCTTTATCCGAAGGCTCTGGAGATGCACTGCTTGCCTTGTAATTGATAATTACAGGAGAAACTGAACCATGGGGCAGAGGGCTAGTAGATTGCCGTTTCTGCGGTGGAGTATCTTGATTCACCTCCACCCCATCAAGATCCTTCCTCTTCAGGTGTCTCTCACTAGAACCACTCCCACAAACTTCACCATCATCAGCCTGCTGCTGGGCCATAACTCTGGATTGTCGAGGTCGTTTACAACCATCAAGATACACATAAGGAGGAAGTTGCCTTCTATGAACATGAGATACATGAATTTCCATCCCTGGTTTCCAAAACATGTACATATTAATGGAATGCCTGAACCCATCAACAGTCCCTCGTATATCAAACTGCTGACCCTGAACCTTTTCACCCTGTTTCCTCTGCAAACCCATAAAAAATGCACAATGTGCACATTCTTTATTCGTATCGACATACTCATGTGGACAAGGATGGCACTGTAACATCCCTAAAGTATCCCGTTCAATCTGCAAATATAAAAAACACACCAAAACATGAGGTAACAATATACTAACATTTCTATTTTTAAGAGAAGAAAAAAATGAAGATATGGTTATTACCATTAGAGTTAGTTGCCTCAGTCGAGATTCCACCCAGCCTTTCCAAGCACGCAAGTCATCAACATCAGCAGCAATTATGTCAACCTGGAGATAGTTTTTGTAGCTTTCAAAGAACATGTACGGCTCAAACAATGCACACCATTGAGCTCTATTCAATTCCACTTCCTGGATTTAAAAAATGAAAAGAATAAAGGATAAAATAGTCAGCCAGGCAAAGCAAGCTAAATAACACATACCACAAAACTAAATGAAACGGGCAGGCGAGAGAACAGAACAAGTACAAACCTCACAGGTCTTGTTTCCATAACGGAACTGCTCGACCATAACACGCAGAGTACTTTGTGAAACATTATAGCTAGAATTCATACAAGGGTACGCAGGAGTTATAATTGGCATATGATGAGTCCGGTCACGAGGATTTCTGCGAGGGTCCCAAACAGAAAAGCCAAGTTCATCCTCTTCAATGGGACACAACATGACAGGATTTGGCCACCGCCACTGCGTATATACCCTAAAGAATCGAGAAACCAGCATGCTGGGAACTGCATTGGGATAAAGTTGGCAAACCCGGGCAACAAGAAGAGCCCAGTTTACTCCGCCAAGAAATCCAGTAACCTGAAAATAAATGTTTTCATACAGCACGCAGTTGGCTTAAATGTCAAAAAATAAAAAATAAAAAACAGAATAACTTCTAAAGTGAGGAGGTACTCACATTGGAATAAACACCGCGTCTTTTCGCCCAAAATTTCAAGCATCTGAGTGTTGTGCAAAAATGCTACAACCAAAAAATACGACATGAGAGGTTCAATATAAATCAGTACATATATGTTTTCATAAATTAAAAAATGGCAATCGGCAAACAAGTTAAACCCAATCATAGGAAGCATTTCACCTCAACATTTGGAACAAGCTTTAAAATTTGATCAGCGACCCTGCAGCCATTAAGACTTCGAACAGTAGGCTCATCGATATTGTACAACAAAGATACATCAGAAATGTCCAGGTCCTGTTTAATAAAAAAGACCCCTAGATTGATTACGCAAAATGATGAAGAGGATAAATGCCAAGGCTACAAAAAAATGCAATTAACATGATAAATTAAAAACATTCTAAAATGTAATACATCTCGATAAATTGAAAATTAGCTAAGCAAAACCTGGTAATGTACAAAACCTGTTTTCCTACGATCACCGTAAGGGAATTTTATATGCTAAGCTTATTTGTTCAGATAGCTAATGAACACTTACATTTCTCTTGAATTACACGTAAAGAATGTTTTATTATATTGTTCTATAAACAGCAGAGTCCTCTTAAATAGAAACAGCGAACATATAGATGGTTAGCACGAAAACAAATTAATCTATCCTTGACAGCTACGCAGTCAAAGCCTGTGGCCAACCAGCATAGCACATCAAAAAAATAACAGGAAGACAACATAGAGAGCGGAGAGAGAACCCCTAAACCATGTCATACACAAAATAGCACGTCAACTTCAGAAAAAATAAAGTGTTGCACTTCCACTTCCATAATACTTGGGTTTTTTCAAGTAAGTTCATCAACAAGTGTTCAGCACTTACTTCTGGTACAACCAAGAGAGAAATACTAGCATAAAGGAGGTCGATCGATATTCCGTCAAACTTAAATTTCATTACAGGGACATGAGCATCTGGAACTGGTTGCAGCTCGGTCACCTCTTCCATCTCAGCAAGAATGTTGTGCAATACAAAGAAGAAGTCTTCCTGAATATGACATAACAGTACTAAATAAACATACAATTATAGAGTGAACAATGACAAGACTCAGAACTCCAAGGAAAAACTGCTTCACATCAATACTTACCTCTCGATTGACATAGGATGGCCCAACACATAACGTGTCTATGTCAGCCCCAGGACCATGCACCTACATAAAAAGTAACAGTATACAAGTAAAATCTGAACAAGCAAAACCAATATCATTGGCAAAGAAAAATAACAAATTAGTAAAAAGTTGATGGAGCAACGACTAAAGACATTTTGTATTTCAAAGTCTTGTTTCCCTCTCTCACAAACCAATTCAGACCACAAATCGAAATCTGAAAACAAAATCAAGAGCGACCACACTTACCCTGAGCCTATAGGACCCAAATGTAAAAATACGAGCATTAGCGTCCTCAACCATTTGATCTGTGTATCCTCTCAAGCGAGTAAGTTGCTTCACCCAATCTTTGACAATCTAACAATCAGAAGATGGGATGGGAAACTTGAAAATGACAAATCACTGAAACTAAATAGATTATTATAAAAGGAACAAAAACAAAATATCAATGCCGATTAACATATACATTAATCACAGATCTCATAAGGCTGATATATCAAAAGCATGGCTTTTAATCAGAAACACATTAAACCCAAAACCATGAATTTTATTCCAACTGACAGCATCAAAATGTTTTCTGTAACAAAAATAGTTGCTTGTACAGGCTATCATCCTGGTCATGCATCACAAGTTAGCTTTTGCTACTTTATTAGTCATATAGTTTTAAGGGGATACTATAATTTATACAAGACACGTACTCTAACTTTACCTCTATAACCATATGTCTGCAACTTTTTACTCTGAGTCTTTGACATCATACACTAATACAGGATCATTGCCATTAGTGAAGTGTAGAATATTTTCACCCTTTTCAGTCTTCTAGATGTTCTTATTCTAAACCTCAGAAAACCTATTCAATGTTCCAGTATGACACAAGGTATAATTACACATCCAAACCCATGAGATATAAACACCCTACCAGCGCATAATTGTAATTACAAGTGGCAATTAAGAGTAATGATAGGAAGAACAATTTTTTAGACCAAATTTGAAAACCATGTGATGTGTCACCAAAGGAAATAAGCATGTTAATCAACACTTAAGTAACAATGCAATCATCAACAACCAAGTCATATATTTACAAAATTTGGTCTAAATAGTTGGTCTCCCTAGCATTACCCAGCAATTAAACCCAAAAATTAGGCAACATGGAATAAATAAGACAAACACAAGTTTGTTAATAGCAAAATCAATAACACCTACAATTAGCACAAACAAAAGAAGGCAATCAACCGAGAGAGATTTATATTCTGCATAATAGATTCTGACTGAAAGTTTTGGAAGATGGGTAGGCATCAAAACAATTATCAAATTAATAGTAAATAATTACTGTCCTAACCATAACTTCCTAATCACTCTAAACCATAACTTCCTAATCACTCTATCTAAAACTGTATTAAGTGTTCATTAGCCCACAATTTTCACAACCAAAAACTCTCTCTTATGAAATTTAAAACAAAGAATAATGACCTGCTCGATACGCCGAAGAACCTCCTCTCTCTTGGCAACTCCTTCTTCGGTTTCATAAAGCCCAGCTTCAACCAAAAACTTCAAACACCCAGAAACAAAAACTTTCACAACCAGAACATTAAGAACCAAAAAATAATTAATATTTCCAAATCAAAATTCGATAGCACAAACCTTCTCCAACTCTAATGTCCTCTGAATATCGACTTCCGTCGGCCCGGCAGTCGATATTGGCTTTGTCACTCCGTACTGCCTCGCCGCCACCTGAGGAGGCGATAGCGGAACACTCAATCCCTCGGAATTCACCATCTCAGCATCCCCAACACGAAATTGAAAAAAAAAAAAAAAAAAAAAAAAAATTCCTTTCGCACAAAATCAGAAAACCCTAGAATTCCACTGGAAAGATCGCAGGATCTTGAACCCAAACCCTAGAATCTACGAAAAGAGGGCAAGAGGAAGGGTTTTTACAGTAAAGACATAGCCGAAACCCTAATAACGGAAGGAAATCGAAAAGAAGAGAACTTTCCTAAAGAGATAAGAATTCCAAAACCGAAACGAATTGGGAAAATTCTGAAAATTCAGATACAAAACCGAACAAGGAAAACAAACCCTAAAACGCGTCGGAGAAGATAGATGGAGGAGTCAATAAGACAAGATAGAGAGTGAGTGCCTGGCGGCCGGTTGGTTTTTTTGTGTTTTGATATTTTTTTACTTTTTAACGGCGTTACGGTGGTTACGCGGTGCGCGCCGTTAATTACGAAAGACGGAACCTGGTGCGCTCTTCCATCGGCATTCCGGTTTTGTACACTGCACAGTAGTAACGTCAACTGCAAGGAAACTTTTGTAGCTTTTAACGGATCCTTCTGACTCATTACACGTGGCGACGTGGAGGGTGCTCAAACCCATATGATTTTTTTCCTTTTTCATTTTGTAAGAACCGCTCCAACTTGGAGTAAGTCTCAAAATTTAGCTTCTATAACCCCAAAACACTCAAATTCTTGGACCAAAATGGAATTATGGGTTAAAACTCAAAATTAGGATAAATTATGATTAAGGTTTGAGTTTGGGTTAATGGGCTGGCCCACGTCTGTGCGTGGACATACTAGCAAAAGGAGGGCTGCTCCGCGCTTAATGTGCCTTACGCCCCAACGTGCGAAGGTTTAAAGAGGCAAGGTTCCCACCCATGTGGGTGTTGTCGGCCTTTGATAGAAATGTTATGATTTCATTTCTTAACAGATAAGATTACATCCTTGGGGATAAATACTGATAACACACACACACACTTGTGCTACCAACTAATTACATCATTGACTAACTAATCATTAGCTAATCACAAGGGTTGTTATAACAACCTTTTTAACAAACTCATCTATTTACAATTTCACCCATATTAACCTTGTGGTTGAGCCCAACTTCTCTTTTTGTCATCTACAGGCTAGATTAAATGGACCATTGGTTGATCTAACAGTCCACACCATTTTTTTTTTGTTTTATATTTATAAATTCATTAAATTCAATAGCTGAGATCTAATATAAAAAAAAATCTAATAGTCTAAATTTAAATCTAACAGCTAAAATAATAATAAAAAAATATTTATCTCAAAGTTTTATATATCTCTATCACGTGTTTCATATTGTTCCGTAGTGTTTCATGAGTTTCATGATGTTGGTTTAGTGATTTTTCAATATTTATCAGAATCTAAATATTTGTAGGTTAAATTCTTTATAAAATTAAATTACAATAGTTTGCATAATTTTTTTTTAAAGTTACATTGAAAAAAATGAGCCTAAATTAATTCTTTAAGACTATCTCTAACCCTTGGGTTGAAACCTAAAATTTTTAGCCCATAAAATTTAAATTTTAACCCAAAAACAGTTTTTCTGCTCTAACTCTTCTAGGTTAAATTTTTAGCCCCAGATTATTAAAGAGTAAATTTAGGCTAATTTTTTTAAATACTTTTTTTTGAAGAAAAATTATGTAGATCATACTAAATTAATTTTGTGAACATTTTAATTTAAAAATATTTTGATTCCGAGAAATTTAAAAATTCACTAAACTGACCCCATAAAACAAAATATAGAGTTTTTGGATGAATTTTGATTTAAATAAATTATTTTAACTGTTGAATTTAAATTTAGGCCATTAGATCTATTTTTTTATCGTTAGATTTTATCATAGCACTATCTCAACCATTGGATTCAATAAATTTAAAAATATAAAACAAAACATTAGTTAGATTAAATTTGGACCGTTGGATAACCAACGGCTCATTTAAATGTGAGCCATTGATCAAATAAAAGAGCCGTTAGGCTTAGATTTTTTAGCCGACAAGCAGCAAATAGACCCACATGAGTGGGGCTACTATTTGCAGACATGATGATGGCTTGAAATCAGCTCAGCGCGTTCAGCAATTGGCGCGACTGATTTTGGATGATAGTCGTCCAACTCTATCTCTTCCACGTGCATTTGGGGGTCCCTCCACTAATTGATAGGAGCATATTTAGGCGACTTACTTAGCTTGTTTTCGTGCATCTATGTTGGTAATTCATAGTTATTTTAGTCCTTTATGCTTCTTTTTGTGTGTTTTCAGGTTCTAAGGGCTTAGGGAGCAAGAAAGTGCATTTTGAGGCTATTTGGGGCACTTTTGGGCATGGATTGGATAGCTTAATCATGGAGCAAAGAGGATGGACGAAATTGAAGCCTTGTATGCTCTTTGGGGACATCAAACAAAGGGTCTAGCCCAATCAAACATATTATGCCATGCAAACCAACCTATTTTAGGCCCATTCTATGTACTTAAACCCTAGCCCTTTAAACTAGTCCATTTATCACTTATCACTTCCATTCACTTATCACTCACCACATATCATTCATTTATCACCACATATCATTCATTTATCACTTATCAAACCTTTCACTTATCACTTCCATTCACTTATCACTTATCATTTCCATTCACTTATCACTCACCACATATCATTCATTTATTACTTATCATACTCATAATCATCTACACATTTCAAACATATGCATTTCATCTCACATGCACACCCACCTCTTTCCAAACTAATTCACATGCATACCTATTCTTTAAATCAACACATGCATTCACACACATGCACATCATTCACTCACATTTCCACCATTCATTCTTTATTCCACAAACAAGTCACATGCATTTCCACCTTCCTACTTCATCATTTCACCACATTCTCCCTCTTTAACTCATTTCATTATTCATTCACTTTGCATTCATTCAATTCCACCCCACATGCACCCTTTATTCTTCATCATTGCAACCATGACACATTTACACCAACAAAACAACTCCCATGCCATGGCCTACTCATATTCCCATTTCCTTTCCAACATCTCACATGCATTTCCACCTTCCTACTTCATCATTTCACCACATTTTCCCTTTTATTTCCACATGCAATTCTTCATCATTGCAACCACAAACACCTTAAACAAATAGCCATATACATCTCCACTCCTCCTATAAATACCCTTGCATTCATTCATTCAAAAATCATCTCATTCACAACACAACAACACACCACAAACACAATCCTTTCTCCCTTAGAATCCAAAAACCATCTTCCATTTCCACCAATCCTCATCCATTTCCATAATTCCCCAACACTTCCATCCCCCCAACCAACCTATCCTTAAACCTTGTGCTACAACAACGAGGAAGAGAAGAGTGCCTAAACGTTCATACAATTCAAGTTTTGAGTTGTTGGAATGTTTAGGTGTTTCTTTGATTTCAAAGTTTCATTTTAATTCTCTTTGTTTTGTACGTATGAGAAATGGAAGAAAAGAGTGCTTAAACGTTCATACAATTCAAAGTTTTGAGTTGTTGGAATGTTTAGGTGTTTCTTTGATTTCAAAGTTATGAGGAACTAAACCCCCTTTAGCTAGGGGGTAATTCGAAACTATGTTTATGTTTGTAATATGATTTGATTCCTTTTAATTACGTTTCATAAGTTGTGAATTCAATTTGTTTAACTGTTTGATTGATAACCTATTTATGTATGTTTATTAAGAATGAACGCTTAATTTTCATGCATGAATTTGACGCTAGAATATAAGTGAGTTTCACGTAATAGTTATGAACTTATATTCACAAGTAGTGGAGGTTGCTTATAAACAATCGTGTTAAACATATTCTTGGCATAAGTTTCATACAATCATAGTAACGAATGCCTCGTCAACACTTATAGTTTTCATGATGCTTAATGATTCTTGCTTGTATCTCTATTATGCAATTCATGTAGGGAACTTGTGAGGAATGCTTTGGATTGTCGTATGCAATCATCCAATTCATTAACTTAAGGAAAACTTGACGGTTAATTTAAGCGGACCTAATTAACCCGGGGCGTTGAGAATTCATGGTTTATTGAAAAGCAATTAGACATCGTTTTGTATGCAAGTATAACATATGTGGAGATGAACCCCTTAGCTAGCTTCCCATCCATTCATTTCCGTCAAATCCATATTTACAATTTGTTTTGTTTCCAAGTTTCCATTTTTAGTTTAAAGTCGTCCAAATCCAATCCCCCTTTACTTTATTGTTCAATTTAGTTAGAAATCAATTTAGTTTGTGTTTTTAAAGCATTTTGAGTCTTTTGGTTTGTCTTAGTGTTTTAACGTTTAGTTTCACATTCTTTGAGTCTAGTTTAGTGTTTTATCTTGTTTTTACGTTTTTGAAGTCAAATCCAAGTGGTTAACAATCCCTCCTAATCCTCGGTCCAAAACGATCCCTACTTACATCCATACTACAATTGTCAAAAAGAGGGTTTAATTTGTGCGCGTATAATTCTCGCATCACCAACCCAGCTCAATTTTCTGATTGGTATTTGGCCCAATTTTAGCTTCTAACCCATAACCGCAAATTGGCCCAAGGGTTGGAAGGAAATGGAGGGGGAATAGAAGGTAAATTTTAGGACTAAAAATTTGGGGCTAAAAATTTGTGGCCCAAGACTTTCTTCAAGGTTTGTCTAATAATCTAGGGCTAAAAATTTAACCTAGAAGGGTTAGATAAAAAAAACAGTTTCTAGGTTAAAACTTAAGTTTTCTAGGTTAAAAAATTTAACCCAAGGGTTGGAGATGGTCTAATAACAAGTTGGAAGCAGATTTTAATTTTTTACTTTCCATGTTAAAAGTTTGATAGGGGGATTTCAAATTTGAAACTCCTTACAAATATGAAGAAATTTTTTCCATTAGATTGAGTCTAACATCAAAATAGAGAAAGGAAAAATAAGTGATATGCAACTATGAAATGTTTACCAATACTCTCAATGTCATGTCTGTTACTAAAAACATGGAAGTTAGAAAATGAAATTATTCCAAAACTCATGTTTTAGTAAACGCATGGAAATGAAGAATTGGCATGATTTCAATTTCTATTCTTTATAAGTAAACATGTAAGAAGTAACACTAAATTAATGTTTTATAGCCTTTTTTGGAAGAGTTCATTGACGCAATGTTTGGTAGCACTTTATTATAAGCATATTAAAAAGTTGGGTAAATATCAGTTTACTACCCTTATGTTTCGTGTTTTTCAACATTTAGTACATCAATTTTTTTTTGTCCTAGAGTCATACCTAAAGTGTAAATTTGGAACAGTCTCATACATCTGTTAGTCAAATCGTTAAGTCTCCTGAGGAGTGACGTGGTGCCCATATGGACAATGATTGGGCGCCACGTGTCATTAAAGGGTCCACGTGAATATTAAAAAAATTAAAAAAAAAGTTTAATTTAAAATTAAAAAAAAAAAAAAAAATCTGGGCATTCAC